AAATAAAGATATCATATAAGATGATATGCCCATTGGCACACACGTGTTATGGCAGCTTGTCACACCCCCAAGCTGATGTTCTATATAAATCCTTCGATGAAAACACCTATTCTCAATTACATCGACAATTACTATATCAAACTTCGAAGCGTGAACTAGAAGAACAAGCTATGAATAAAGATCCTGTTCTATTTCCACCGGTATTACAACAGCGACCATGGAATCAAAGACTAATGTATATTAGACATCGATATGAAAGTGGCCACATTTCCAAATTTTCAAAAGAATTTCGCACATGGTGGAGCAAACATTATCGATCGCCAGGATCAGAAGCCAACCGCATACAACTTTGATTCATTCCTCTAACAAATCGATCATTACAAAATTATCTTATACGCAAAAAGCCAAAGAAAAGGCTTCTCACCAAAATGGACACAAACACATAGCATATCATCTAAAACATATATTTCTCGAGACAATCATTGTACATAGTGTAAAGCTCGTTACTGTTGAAAACTTTAATATAAAACAAAAAAAAAACACAGTCATAGCAAGATGATTTAATGACAAAAATGACTACATTACAATAAACTTTATTATATTCTAGATAAAACAGCTACAGTACATCAAAACAAAACTACTATACTACAACGTACAACTCAAACAGAAACATTATCAACTCAAAAAATGTTGCTAAAAAGTAAGCTGCCTAATTTACAATCGGAATAACATTGAAAATACTAACCTATTTCATTCACTTAGAGACATTACACCCATGTAACTATAGAACCCTATACAAAGCCGAAAAGTTAATTGAGAAAAACTGGGATTCCAGAATTTCGCCAATAAGACTTTCGCCAACAGGACATTCGCCAATGGCGAAAGTCCACTATACTTTCGCCATTACATGTCCAGGACATTCGGCAATTGGCGAGAGTCCATTGTACTTTCGCCAATATACCTTAGTGACTTTCGCCAATAGACTCAGACGACTTTCGCGAATTGGCGAGAGTCTGATGTGCATTCATCAGTGTAACATGTGGGTTAATAGACAGCACCAAGATAGATGCTGACACCCATTCTCCTCGCTCATATCCAACATTTATTTTCTTCTGTTACAATTAGTAAAAGTTCATCGAACTTTTTTCAATTGGTGAGAGTCCACTGTACTTTCGTCAATGTATTCCGGTGGCTTTCGCCACTTGGCGAAAGTCCACTTTACTTTCGCCAATATACCCGGGTGACTTTCGCCATTGGCGAATGTCCAGTTGGCGAAAGTCTTATTGGCGAAATTCGGGTAAGCCGAAAAACTGACAAAAGCCATCGAACATATGTTATCATAGTACTATTTCGGTGTGATACTCTGAATTTCAAGTCTTCATTATAAAAAATTAATGAGTTATATCCTTCGTTAGCTAATTACGTTTAAGCCATAACTTCCTCAAAACTTGGTTGTGAGTTATGACTTGCATGTAATTAAGAAATTCTAAACATACCTGACGAGTCCCTTAAGCAAGGACGAAACGCGTCGTGTGATGCTTTGAATTTCGAGTCTTTCTTTTACAAAGATTATACTCAAGTTAGTTGTACTTGAAAATTTTATATGTGCAAATGTTCAAAATTTAATTATTGCATTGAAAAAGTAGTTCACATGTTCTTATTTTATTTTGAATTACTATCTAGTAGATGCAATATTAAGAATTCCACCTGATGAAGTCCCGCCAAGACAGAAACAATGTTGTCGTGGACGGCGATCTATTATAATACACACTCACACCCCACATCCTCGATAGATGGCATAAATCTGATGAAAATATTAAATTGAATGCTAATATTGGTTCAGTTACAAATTTTCTTGATTTATATATAGAAAATTGGTATGGTACTTTGTTTACTACAGTATACCGAAAACCATCCTAAGAGCCGTATTATTTACCATCTAACGGTATTCATCCATTACATATGAAAAAGTATATACCTTTTACAATGCTGGTTCGAGCAATTAGGTATTGTTCTACATTTCAAGCATATTTGGATGAACGCGAGAAGTTAAGAATGGGCCTTATTACTCAATAAATATTCTAATAAGGTTATTGAACAACAATTTAATAATGTTTTATAGAAATTTAATATTGATCAGCCACTGACTATTATAAATTATGATAAATATCGCCAAAATGTATTAGATTCACCATATAAAGAACGTATGAGAATGGATTATGATAAAGTTATGTTTATTCATTTTACTTATTGTTTAAGTATGAAATTATTTCCTTTAAAATTTCATACGCTACGGAGTAAATATTTTGGTGAATCTCCGATTAATGAAATTATACCTGTACTCGGTGCACGTAATGTTAAAAATTTACAAAGACGATTAACGAATACTGTTTAAGTTATATATACGTATTATGTTCTGACGATTTAAATTTATATAAATGGCATGTTGAAATTTTCGGACCACCGGATACTTTATATGAAGGTGGTTATTTGAAAGCTGATATGGAATTTCCGGCAAGATATTCCTTTGTTCCACCAAAAGTTTATTTCTTAACGAAAATGTGGCATCCAAATATTTATGAAAATAGTGAAGTGTATATATCAATTTTACATCCTCCAATTGAAGATTCTCAATCAGGTGTTGATGGAGGGTTAATTATTAAATATTGATGTCGGAAACTATCCGTCAAATAAATGTCGAGTTATTAATATGTTTAAAAATTCGTGTTGTTTTGAATCATATTAATATAAATATACTTAAATTTAAATAGATTATCAACTAAACGTCGAGTTATTTAATATACTAAAAATTTGTTTTGTTTTCAGTTATATTAATGTAAATAGCCTTTTAACTTACTTGACATACATGCCTCATGCGATACTATTTATATCTTCTAAGTGATATTATTCATACCTTCAGAGACAAATAATCGATATTATTTATATCTTCAAAGACAAATAAGTGATATCACCTAGCTAAAAGTTCACCATCACATACACGTACTAATATATCGACAACAATAATAACACATTCGTGATCTGTACCTTTAGAATTTTCTGCTGCACGAGAATTTGAAGTCTTATCGAAAGATTTCCGAATGAAAATGACGATAGATTTGATGCGGAACCTGGCTATGCAGCTTTCAAACAATATCATGAACTACGTGAGAAGAGAATGAAATTAGAAATTGAACAATCACTTTATTTTTTATTTGAACAGCTAGTCGAGGGCGAAACCAACAATCCAGAAGAGGAAATAGTCGCTCCGACTCTCATACGTTCGCTGGGCGAGGACTTCTTGCTCCAGCAATAATTAATGAAGCAAATATTCGATTAACTGAAGAAGAACATCAATTATTAAAATTGGGACCAAAATTTATATTTAATGACCCAAAGACAGCAGCTCGTCGACGTATAACCGAGTTGGCTATTTTAAAATGTAAAATTGAAAAATGTTTTCTTCGTAAAAAAGTTTGCCCCGGTCGTCCGCTTCAAGAATTTATAGCTGAATTAGATGTTCTTCTTCAAGTATTACATAATGTTCCAACAATAGATAAAAATATAAATAAAGATAAATTATTTGGTAATGAAGCTAATCAAAATAAAAATATCATTGAATTAATAAAATTATTTAAAATAAATTCGAGGTTCGAACTGGGTTTCAAGTGATTTAATATTATTTAGCGGTAATACTATTTAGTGTTTGTCTTAATTAATTAATACAAGTGTTGAAATTTTACATTAGCCAATTTAGTATTGTAGTTTTGTATTTTTATCAACCTTTTATGTATTTGTATTTTTATCAGTTGATAATTTATTGTGTTTCTATAAAAATTTTTGTGTGAGTATTTCCAATATTAGCTTTAAATTAGTTATAACTATAATTTTTTATATTATCGCGTAGCTCTCATTTTAAAATTTTGGAAACTATCAACATATTTGTTTTTTATGTCACTACCAAGCTTTCATTATAATTATTGTTATATTTGTGTCTTAAACGTAGTTAAAGTTAATTAGCTTCTACGTATGATATGAATTGTTTTAATATCTGTGTTTTTGTAATGTAGAGTCCTGATGAATGTTTCATTACTTCAATAAAATGAACATGAAACGCGTTGGCGAAATTAAACTCTGCATTTTCATTTTATTATTTCATGAGGCACGCATTTCCAATTTGTCAAATTAAATACGACTTCATCCGTTGCTGAAAAGCAAGAGCTGAGACTAGCAAATTGATTTGTATCTGAGAGATATGGATTGATCTGTTTCTATCTGATTTACCCACTTCTACTGTGAGTGAAGCTGCTTTAGGTTTTATCCTCAAAGTAGTTTTTTCAGGTATCATGTTTGGATTCAAATGTTCTTTGGATCTCATACAACTGGTACTGAGGCCACTTGATAAGATTGAGGATTTTGAAACATCAGAAATAATCAATTAGGTTATCGTGGTAACTTATACACACTCGCACCCACACCCACACCCCATACCGCCGAATTCCAGAAAAAAATGGAATTTAAAAATGCAGAAAAAAAATGGAATTTAAGAATGCAGAAAAAAATGGAATAAGCAGAAAAAACTGAAAGTTAAAAATGCAGAAAAAAATGAAATTTAAAAATGCAGAAAAAAATGGAATAAGCAGAAAGAACAGAAAAATAGCAGAAAAAATGGAATTTAAAAATGCAGAAAAAAATGAAATTTAAAAATGCAGAAAAAATGGAATAAGCAGAAAGAACAAAAAAATAGCAGAAAAAATGGAATAAGCAGAAAGAACAGAAAAATAGCAGAAAAATCTACCAAAAGCAGAATTTTTCTGCTGAAAGAAGAAAAGATAGCAACACTACTTCTAATAGAACTAGCTGAATAATGAGTCATGATAGTCTTTTTGCGATGTTCGAGTCTAACCAGTGCATCCCATTGGAACAACAGTTGTCTCAAATGGAAGCAAGTTTAACACCGCATTGCAATAGCCACTTGATGGACATTTGTACCCAAAACCTATAACAATTGCTTTTCCAACGATCGGTGTGAAGTGGCCGTCCATGCAATTATCTGGATCGGGCATACCCCTTGCCGTGTAAGTAAGGAAGTTGAAGTTGGCGATCTCACTATACCAACTGCCGACTATCTGTGTACCTATGTTAACACGAAGATTGTTAGCGGAGTCATAACACAGAGTTCATCTGAGAATACGGTACTGACAAATCAAGAGGAACAACAGCAGAAGAGACATGGGTATTGAGAAGTGCAGAATTCAAACTAATCACTTTGCAGAGCGAGAAGGGTACGATATCTGAGTAAATTTGCTTGACCATCTCTCAAGGAGGATCAATAAATATCAACAGAAACGTTTTTAGAGATAGTCATACGGGAATGAAATATGAAACACGATGGATCCTTCAATTTCCTAAACGAGAGCCCTAATTACATTGACCGTATTATCCGCGAAAGTCCAATCAATGAACGTATCGAAAACATTAAAGTGTGTTTCATAAGTTTCGATCTCTTTTTGTTTTTTTCCTATCTATCCCATATTCCATCGTGGATAGATATTGAGTATAGATTCTTGAAGAGCAACATCTAAGCTATCAATCAAAAAGAAATGTATTCAATTTGCATGAGTTGTACGAGAGAACCACATCGATAAAAAGTTTGAAAAAATTTGGTTAGATGCACTTTTTGGTTCTTGTCTATCCAGATTAAAATCTAACACCACCATTCGATAGCAAGTATTGTTCTCTATCGATCTACGCAAGGTTAATATTTCTATGTTGTTCCATTCCGGATATATAAGGATTTTCAAGAAACTCCCTTTTTGGGGCCATCTGATTACTTATCATTCCAAGATGTCTCCATAAAGGGATAATCAGACATACTGAGTCGACCAGTGATGTTTGTTTTTTGTTTCAAAACGATCTGACATGTTTATAGTGAATTTTTTCACATATGATATTTTCTCACGATAGGACTAAAAAAAGCTATGTTGTGAGAAACAGCCTAAAAACATGTCAGATTGCTTTGAAACGAAAAACAAATATCACTACTCGATTCAGCATGCCCGATTATCCCTTTCTGGAGACATCTTGAGATGATAAGTGATCAGATGGCCCAAAAAAGAGAGTTTCTGGAAAATCTTTATATCTCCTGTCTTTTTGATTGATAGTTTAGACGTTGCTCTTCAAGAATCTGTACTCAATATCTGTCCACGATGGAATATGACAAAGATAGAAAATGAACAAAAAAGGGATCGAAACTTATGAAACACTCTTTATGCTCATTCTACCTATTTGTGACATGTTTGACGGATAGGGTATGTGAGATTGGTTCACTTAACCTGTTCGATACTTTAAGACTAATTGAGAGGTTTCACTACATCACTGACCAAACTGTTCGAAGATGAAATTCCAGTTTCGATCTAATGTTTCTAGTTCTAGAGATCATAGTATGTCAAAACAAATGGCAAAACATCCATATCTCATTATGAAGACAAGCTTCAGATGAACATGATAGCGGACACGCGTATATCGTTCGATCTCCGAAATTAGTTCTTTTCTCTAATTTCTCATGTGTGTCCCATTTGTAAACCAAATTTTGCCCAAATCTAAAATTACGTTGTACCATTCGATAGGGGATTTTCAACTAGAG